CCCCCCCCCCCCCCCCCCCAAAGAAAAACCCTTCCATCTTGCAGGTGTAGAACAGAAACTGAGTCCTGATTGGCTCACTGTCCAGGAGCAGACAGACTTTTGTTCATGAACTGCCTTTTGACAAAGCACACCCACCACTGGAAAGAGAAGAAAAAACATGTTAAGAAAAGTATCTGAAGCTCATGCACTGAAAGTACCTGGGGCAAAACAGGCTACAGATTATTACTCAATATGTTGATGTGCTATATAAACGCTCCATCAACCACATCTGGATGTACTCACAGGCTGCTGTTGAGCCTTGAGGAACAGCTATAGCTTTCCTATATTGCCCTCCCCTCGTATAACAATGTGCATTTAAAGCTGTGGTGTAATACTGGACACACCTTGCTGGGTTTGTCTGTCTGGGGATCAAACACGCGATCACATAGCCTCAAGCCGGTCTCCTGGCGGATCTGCTGGAGGTACGCCCTCATAGTCTCTGGAAAAGGTTGCGCAGACAGTATTATCATCACACTACTACTACGGAGAAATGTCACACAACAACAAAGCATTTAATTTGTTACTGATGCATCAAAACTGGGAAAGAGAACTGTAGGATCCAATTGTTGACTGTATAGGAACAAGGTTGAGCGACACCACACAAGCATGATACAGCACTTCAAACCTCAGATATTTAAAGATGATGGGGCTCTGGTCAACATTGCTATTTTTGGATTGATATTACTTCAGACTGGGGGTTAAATTAAATATGAGAAGGGTACAAGGGTACTGTGTCTATACTGGAGAACAGGGAAGTGACACAACAGAAGACCTGGTTGATGGTGCTGGTTTCTTACCGTCCTCTTGCTTGTTTGCAGGTTTAACATACATAGCATTGAGAGGGAAGCCAGGTTCTCCAGGAATGGGGAAGTTAGTAATGCCCAGAGTGTACATCTCCTTCTCTCCCTGGCTCCTGGAGCTGCACTGTAAACCACAACCAAACACACCAATGCACAGGGTTAGATCGGTCACCTGTCTGAAGGAAGTAACACCCATTTCAACAGGCATTGAAGCAGCGAATTCCTCCTCCCTGTGTGTAAAGAAAACAATACATTCTTCTAATTTAATGACTCCTTAAAATCCCTTTGGTAGATCTTTAGCCTTTGGTTGAGAACCCTGACTAAAACACTGCTTTAAATTGTTTCTGCTAGTATTATGAAACAAGGGTACAGTGTAGATTTTCACCACTATAAACTCTATATATAAAAAAAAATATGCAATTTACCTTCTGTAGCCTCTTCAGGCATTCAGAGATGTACAGTGTGACATAAATCAGCGTCCTGTCCGCCTCATTCTGAAAACAGCAGCAGCACACACAAACAAAATAAGTATCTTTTATAAAACATGCACGTTATTAAAATGAGTACAGTTCCAGCCAGGTCTGAACAGTAAAAATATAACAGTTTAAATATGCATTGCTGAAGGGGAACAGGAAGAAGCAAGTTGGGGCATGTTGAAGAATCAACATGCACAGCTGGTACAAGGCCGAGAGAGACGGAAGAGAGAACAGAGAGTAACAGCCGTACTGGTGAGGTACATACTTGTTCCTCGCTGTCAAAACAATTTTAAACTTTGTGGTTTGATTTAGCTCTGTCGAATATCTGCAAGCAACAAGGTTCTGAGGTTTTGTGTACACAAATTAGTTAATGTTTATCATCTTCGGTCACCTTAAATGAGGGATTAAATGCAAGCTGCCAATACAAGTGACAGTACATGACTTGCCTTGATTTCGTAGTTCTTAAAGAAAACATTGGCCTTGAAGTAGTAGATGGCCTCGTCAATGATGTCCGACTCTATACCTGAAATGGAAAAAAGAGGCATCTGTGAATAAAAAGGCTCTCAAATCAATTCATAATGATGAATTAGAGAATTTACATTTAACAAGTGTTGTCAAACTATGTTTATCAATGCAGAGAGTCATTTCCTGTTTCGGGCAGCACATTTCCTTTTTTGATATGTGGCAAAGCTCTATTTTGGATTTGTGATGACAAACTACTTTAAGAGACCAAGAATTTCCTGACAAGTGGCATAAGTTGGCACTCATTATTTATCTGTGGTGAACATCAATTCATGAGCCCACCGCAGACACTGACGAGCTGGAAACGGAGCGTCAAAAGACACGAATGAAGAAGTTGAACTCTTCAGGCCATATATGGAGGTGAAGCTAATCCGTGCATCAGGAACGTGTCACAACAAGGTAACAAACTCAATAACGTACAAACTAAACGTAGCGTGTGTTTCTGTAATCTTTGTGTTGATTAGTAAGACTGTACAGCCGTACCGTCTCCTCGAGCAGGTCCCTTGAACTGGGTTTTAAGAGGAAGCAAAGCCATGTTCCCCACCAGCCTGGTGTCGGGGACCATCAGCCCCGAGTGATACGCCTTAACAAAAAAGAAAAGAGAGAAGAAGAAGTTGCTTTAGTTATATTTACCAGGTAACGTTACATTTCTGGCAGTTAGCATGAGTGACATTTCAGCTACAGCTCCATCCGCAAGGGCTATGCTATCACGATACCAGTGTGTTTTATAGATACTAAACAAAAGATTTTGCAGAAAAGTCACAACGGAGAATTTAAGATATCCGACATGTACAAACATCACTTCATCGCGAGCAAATGCTAACATAGCTAGCTCACGACACTCGTCATCACAGCTAACGTTCCCTCGGAGGCCCTTGTGTCAACCAGTGGAGTTTATATGTATTTATGTTTGCTCGACGCCGCACATTGGAAGCTTCTGCTGGTCAATAATCGTGTAGAATGTACTCACCGGCATGTTGAGTGATAAATACCAGTCCAACTGCACAGCGAGAGAAAAATACTAGCACGGCAGGACCCAGCTTCCGCCTGTCCCACCCTTCAGCTTTACAGGAAGTGGCCACGTGTCATGTGGCGTACCGTCCACAAGGCGGCGCTAGAACACCGGTTTGTTTTCACACAGGAAGTCAAGTTTTATGTAATATTTTATTTTAAAAATATAGCATTAATAAAGGTATTTACCAACGACTCTTTAAAATTAAACATGGCCCTGAAATAATGAAACATGTATGGGTTAAAATCCCAAATATCTTCAAAAAGGACTGCAAAGAAAAAACGTACGAGCATAAACGATACAAGGTATTCATGATCTTCTGTCAGTCTTTTCTCCACACATGTCTATTTCTTGCTCCATGCTATTCTCCATCTGGAGTTGATAGTGTATCCAGCTCAAGTCTGTTTTTTGCAGAATTCCTGGAGTCACTCTACTCCTCAGCTGTCTTGAAAAGCCTCATCATAATTTAGGTTATCAGGATCTTCATCAGCCTCCTGTAGAAAAGGTAAGGATGGGAATAACAACAAATGAATAGTAAATAATATTACAATAATGGCTACATGCATTGTAATTGCTTTACACCACATTTTCAAATTATATTTCATTGTGTTTTCTTTGTTTCTTCACCTTTGGCTCCTTAAATTCCAGGTCCTCTCCATACTGTATTGAGAAGTCAATATTTTGCAGTACTATGTTCATACCTTCCTCATCTGTGCGGTCAAAAGGCAGGAATCTCACCATACTGTAGTCATCAACCTGGACACACAGACATAAAGAAACATTTTAAAATTCTGATCCAAAATTGAATGCAGTATTAAAATTAAGGCTTTCACTTACCAGACCACAGATGGCTTTAGTCAGATTCTTGAACTTTTTGCTTCTGATGTTATCTGAGTTATCTTCCATCATTGAGTACATGTCTGGGTCCAGGTATCTAGTGGAAAAACAAAGCAAAACACAATGAATGATGCTTCCACGTGAAAAACTTGTAAACTCTTCTTTTTTAATAGCTTTAGGTTTTGAAAAAATTAGGTTCGGACAATTTTATAAAAGTAACATTTAAGTCACGATAACCCTTAATATATTAGTGTCTTAGTTCCAACATTAAGGGTAATCATTAGTGAAGTTTCACATGAACTGAAGACACATAGCAGTGTTGTTCTGTACTCTTATAGCACTTACTTCTCAATCTCCTTCTTGGCTTTGGGACTAAGCAAGTCCATTTTCGTCATGATGTTTATTTGAGGGATCTCTAATAACACCATGGCGCTCAAGGCGGCAATGACCCCTGAGATGAACTGTATATGGAGAGGAGGGAAGATGTGAGACTCCATGTTTGCTTTTATTACCACATTAAAGTGCACCCCAGTGCGTTCAGGCACAAACAGGAACCAAATGAACAGATGAAGCCACTCAAAGACAGTGCCTGTTACCTTAAAAGACTCCACCATGAACTGGGAGTCTACCAGAAAGACCCCACACACCCGAAACTCCCGCTGCTGGAGCTGCTCCACCAGCTGCTTCATTACAGGGAGGTGTGTATAAAGTTCAATCTGACCTGCAAAAGAAGCCACATGTCAAAACTGTGCTAGAGCTGTAAAAACATAGCTCCAATGCTGTATCTATACAGTGCTGACAGTAATTCATAATCACATGTCATCCCATCTCCTCACCATTTACTTTCAACTCTTAACACACTGGGCCGGCACAAACAAAGTGGGTATATCCACTTTGCTCTGGCTTCAGCATGCGTCTTGCCAAGATGTTTACCTGGGCAGTCGAACAGTATGTAGTCATCTTCTACATGACCCAGGCTCTCGTCTAGCCAGTCAAAGTTGTTGGCGAAGTACTCCATGCAGAAGACCAGGCCTCCGTTCGGGCCAAATCTGAGAGAAGGGTCCTCCATGACGTCATCCACCTGGATGAGCTCACGGATGTCTGCGGACACAGAAACAGTGAGATTGTCAGGTCGAACGAAAGAGCACCTGCTGTAAGTGTACAAAATGTAATAGCAAGTAACAAATATTAGCGTGTGAATCACAACATACATGTCATAACATTGTGCTGTGGTATTGTTTTGTACTTCTTTTGTCTTGTTAAGATTGAACATTATTAAGGCACATCTCAATGTTTTCACTGTAAAGCTTGGTTAGCCCTAAAAAAACAATCTAAACCCAATATGTGCATGAAATAAATTAACCTAACTCTTGAATCTCTTCTTCCAGTTGTCTTTATTGTGTAACCCCTTTGTTCCGGGTTACATCCGGCTAAGATGTTCTCTTTGTAATGTAATAATGTTATACATGCTGTATTCACCTGCCATGACAGGGTAGTCAAAGTGCTCAGCTGCTGGGTCCAGATTGACCACATGAGCTGAGCGGTTAAGGGACCCTAAGTGCTGGACCATGGTGGAGCAGTAGGTACTCTGAAATGACAAATAAAACTCCAACAATGACAAAATGAAAAGGCAGACACAACTTCAACTTGATCTATATGGATGTGGTGATAACACAGCCTCATGCCTTAGCACATCGCTTTAGCCGCGTAGCATAACAAGGCATTTCAGCACGTGTGACCAAAGGACTGATGACTTACCTTACCGCTACCCGCCGGGCCCATCACTAGCTGCGCGTAACGAGGCATTTTGCCTCAATGAGAAGGTGTTGTGGTCAAGTTAAATAGCTTTTTTTCGCTAACTGTAGCTAGCTATGTTGTGTACTGATGCCTGAGTACTTCTTCTTCTTCTTCAGGGACATGCACTCCGGTCGTAAGACTCACTACTGCCACCTACTGGCTCTAGACAGTACGACTAGAGGCGTTGATAAGAGCAGAAACAGAAGAGCAGAAGAAGAAGAGGGCGAAGAGGAGGAGGAAGCAACAAACTGACACCAGCGTGCAGGACTACTGCAAACCTGCTTCTTATATACAAACCAAAACTGCTGCAAAACAAAACTCGTTACCAAACCATCTTCTTATACACCACAGTCTCGGCAACGGTACTGCTACTAGCTGGCTAAAAGACAATGTCTCGAGGCTGAATGGAGTTGACATAACAGTACTCATTGGTAGGTCCTCGTCACACTCCGTCTTGCACTCATATATTGCACCCTCGCAGGTCACGTAGACTTTATTTGCTGGATTGTACTCTTGTGTTATACTTTGACTCTTTAGCTTCTAATCGCAGTGTTTAGACTCACGTTAAGCGTCGGTTTAACCAGGCAGCAGCGTAGCGTTAAGCTATGATTGTGATTTAACTACGAGCGACACTTCACAGGTTGAGCTCGGATTTAGAAGACCAGCCATTTGTCTCTCTTTGGTGTGTAATAATAACTAGCCAACGCTACTGTCCAGCTGTGGGTGTGCTTTCAAACGTTGGCTAGCAGCGTTAGCAGTATTTATTTATTACAACGTGTTATGAGCAAATCGTGGCTACTCTACGCTAACGCTAAACGTAGCTAGCAGTGCGACTACAGTGACTAATTGTAAGCTTAAGGCAGACAGTGCTAGTTGATAATCTCAGGAAAGTAAACAACAACGGCTTCCCTAGATAAACAATGTTACTACTACTTACAGCATTAGACATCGTGATACTTCAGTAACGTTGTATTATTAATGCACAATGTTTTCTTTTACTCTTAGATAGATAAGGATCAGAAACCGAAGACTGTCTAGAGAAATGCTAACCTCTTTTGTTGTTGTGCCTCTCTTTGTTTTGCAGTGTTGTAGGCTATGAGTGTGGGTGATGGAGGACAGTCAATGTGAGGACTTGGACTACCTGATCCAGGATGAGGATACGCTCATTGAAGGCATTAGCAACCAGGTCTTATTTGTTGTGGTGCTAAGCATCACCTTCCTTGCAGGCATCCTCACTTTACTCTGCAGGTAAATTAAAATAATTCAAATTAAAGTGGCCTGTACGGCAAGCTTTAGTTTAGCCTTTTCTTTGTCAGGTGTGTGTCACCTTTCCAAATAATTCAAGTGAAACTTGTCTCGTCAGTGTGCATAGCTCTATGTGCTGTTATGTGTCTATAATGTCTGCCTTTTCCACCTTCTTGCAGACAAGATTCGCAGAACATTCATCCAGAGAATCAGGAGCACGTTCGAGCCGTCCGACAACAGCTCCAAACCGAGCAGGTACGCAGGCACACGCAACGCTAGCCTCTCCGCCAATATATGGCTAACAAAGCAGACAAACATTCAAATCCATGAGATACACTTCTTATTTAAGTTCTACACATTTCATTGACATTTTTACTCAATTTTGCAGCTAGAGAATAAGGTCTTACCCTGTATGGTTTTGCCGGATTGATGACTGTTTTTTTTTTAATTTTTCATACATTTGTTTAACGTATTTTTTTCAATCAGGAGATGCATTTCAAAATTGTGTGCTCCATGATGACTCGCATATTCAGCTTTCATATGTGTTTTTGATTTTTATGCATTTCATTTTTTTTTTGGTCAGGATGAAAATCCTCAGGCGGAGGCCAGGCAGCAGTACTACACAGACATGTCTTGTCCTGTGTGTTTACAGCAGGCTGTTCTGCCTGTGGAAACCAACTGTGGACACCTTTTCTGTGGTAGGACAGTTATACAGTTTCTAGTAACTTCTAGTAAACTTGTTTACTTAGCTTCATTCTGTTAGCACATGCTGGCATATCTTTAGATAATACGCAGAAGTCCCAATGACTATGGAATCCAGTTGCAAAAGTAAAAGAAAATAGTTTTTAGTTATATTATTTGTATTTATGCTATGTTCATGTTGTAAAGCGATGTATTTTTTTCCTGCATAGGATCCTGCATTGTAGCATACTGGAGGTATGGCACATGGCTGGGTGCTATTAACTGCCCCATCTGCAGACAAATGGTGAGACGTAACACATGTTGGATGTAGAATGATTAACCTGAGCTTTCAAATTACAATTTGTAGATACCAGACTTGCAGGATAGCTGTTAACATTGCTATCTTCCAAATTTACCCAAAGAGATAAATGCTGAAATCTCATCTCTTAAGACTTGTACTCACGTTTGTCTCCGGTTGAAATATTTCATTTTCAATGTAATTGTTTTCTGTTAGTTATTGTCAAAATCACGGGGACACAGTGTTACGCTCTCCTCAGTCAAATAATTTTATTCATGTAGTGTGCGGCACACAGATCGTTTTTTACAAGAGTATTGTCATGTGCTAAGTTTTCCTCCCCCTCGCCCAGGTGACGTTGCTGTTCCCACTGTTTCATGAGCACACCACTCCTGAGAGGGTCCAGGATGGGGGGGCAGAGCCTCAGCTGATACTAACGGACATCATCGATTACAACCGCAGGTTCTCAGGCCAGCCGAGATCTGTGAGTATACCACAGCGACAATACGATATTCATATTTAAATGACTTGTTGCAAAAGTCATTCAAGTATGTTAAAAGCTTTTGAGTGTTAAAAGCAAAAATAGATGTTACTTATGAATTTCCCTCCAGACTATATAATCTGTGGCCCTACACGTATGAGATACTAGTACGCAGATGAACTTCCCGTAACATATTTTGTCCCCTCTGTCTTCTCAGTATATGGACAGGCTGCGAGATGTGCCCACCCTGCTTCGTCATGCCTTCAGGGAGATGTTCTCTGTGGGTGGCCTCTTCTGGATGTTCAGGATTCGGATTCTTCTCTGCCTCGTGGGAGCAATCACCTACCTGGCCTCGCCGCTCGACATCCTCCCCGAGGCCCTTTTCGGTCTGCTGGGATTCATGGACGATTTCTTTGTGATCCTGCTCCTCTTTGTTTACATCTCTATCATGTACAGAGAGGTGGTTACACAGAGACTGAACGGCTAGAGGTTCACTCACAAGAGAGGCTTGCATCACTGCGGGCTCCGGGAGGAGTGAGCGCAGCATCTGAGGTGGACTTGTAAAGACGGAATGAATGAATGAACACCGTCGAGAGGTTTATTTTGAAGCCTGGAGAGGGGGTGTGAATATTCACTCCGTAGATATAATTCACCATTAATGCTTCATAGATTGAATGAGATCAAGGGGAACAACAATACTACATAAGACCTATTAGACTCTGCGGTAAGCCAGGGGAATCGTTTTGGTCCATTAAATGACTTGACGGGCACCCCTAACTGAACACTTAACAGCAAGCTCTGTGTCAGCATTGCCAGTTATTTGGTTAATGAGCATGAAGACAACTGTGTAACATAACGTGGTCTTGAATGTACTGTATAAACGGCACTGTCTTGATTATATGCATTTAAAGTTGGCTGCCTGCATTGAGATTGTTGAGTGTAGAACCATCTTCTTGTGGCTATTGCAGCCGGTTTGGTCCATTAAACTGATGATGCATTTATTTAATTAACCTGTGACTATGCATATTCATGATGACAGCTTTTTGTGCTTGTGAGAAAATCATTTTTGCTTCCAACTGTTTACATTTATTGCTCAGATCTGAACCTCTCTGCATGTATCCACATGAAGTGAGGATGCACAGGACAACCAGACTGGTGTGTGATAACTTTTCAACTGGACGATTTTTATTCAAGACAGTAAAAAGTAGTGTTTTGATCATCAGAAGAAGGCAAACCAAAGGGATCCGATTAATTATACGTCACGTTGAATGTAAACAGGCTCACGTCATGAATGTTAACTTACCTTGCCACCTAAAGGTAGTTTTGTGTTCAGAGTCGATGGGTGAACCACAAAGCTTTTCAGATTCATCACTTAATGTTTTGGAACATCAGTGTCCTAATTTGTAACTGTTACAACTTTGTTAGTAAATTAAAAAAGTTTATCAATATCTCAAAGTGAAATTAATTAACATGCGATATGTGAGTCAGTTTTTTGTTTTTTTTGGAAGATATTTTGTCACGGATTGCTGGACTTATGCTGGCTCACAGTAAAGATGTAGTTCTCGTTCTCAACCTTTTTGCCTTGTGACCCCTTAAATTTATAGAAATATATATTGTTCTGTTCCTGTTAAGCTTTGCTTGGCACCCTAAAGTTACTGCGAGTCCAATCCTGGTCCTCTGAAAACGGCTGCTTCAGAGTGGCGACTGAAACTGTATCCAGGCCATTTGTCTTCTTGAGGCGCTTATTTGCGGAGCAAGCACTGGCCTTCATGTTCATGAGAAGTAGAAGAAATATACTGCGGTTAGGGCTTATGTGGCGGATTAACAGTGATGTACAAAATACATTCAGTGTGATCGACAGCTTCAGTTCCCTCTTGGAAATGTCATGTTTTAAGGTGTGGCACGTGCCAAGCTTTGTCATTCCTTTCCCCAGCCCTTACTGATTAGCATGTCTTTCAGTTTGTCTCATGGGGTGTTTGAGCAACCTCCACCCTTCTTGTTTTTGACAGCCAAACAGAAGCAGCATGTGTTGTAAAAGCTGCTGCTCATCTCCAGCAGAGAACCGGTCAGGTGAGAGTCTAACCCATGTGGGAAAATACTGTAGCTGCTGGAAGAGTCAGTGCTTTGGTGCAAACTGCATCACAACCCCCCCCCCCCCCAAAAAAAAATATAATAGTTAACACCTATACAAGTAATTTCTATCTCAAACACACTCTTCGCCTTCCTCAAGATCAAGGGTTTCCCACTGAAAATGCTCCAATGTGACTGAGACTATGAAACAATGTCATCGTCCTCTTCGATGGATTCCATAACGAAGTGTCAGTCAGGATACTTGCCATGACAATCACCATCTATTGAGTTTGGTGGTCATATGATGCTCCAGACCATTCTGTCCAAGTGTTGCACAGACTTGTCTTTGAGCACAGCCCCCCAATCTTCCTTCAGAAGGGAGTCAGCTGTGTGCTTTCCAAAACTTGAGTCTGACACTGCTCAATGAAGGGGAGGTAGATGACACAGCTATTAATACCATAGGCCACTTCCGTTTTTGCTGTAAGTCTATGATGTTATTTTAGAAACCTGGAGATGTAAAATGATCTAGTAATTTGCAAGAATTAGACGAATGCCATTTTAGGGTTTTGGTTTTCTGCTTTCCTATGTTGGTAATCCACTCACAACCATCCCTATTTAGCTTGGTTGGGGACCAGTACCTGACATTACCAGTTTTGCACCCACAGAATGCATTTTCTTTGACAAGCAAGGCTGGGTTACCTACAGGGCCTTGGGCCAAAGTAGTCTGCAGGGCAATTACTTTATGCTTATTCAATACATTAAAAAAGTCCTTATTTTTTGCCTTTGAAAGTGTCTGTAAGTGCAACCTTCAACACACAGCTTCATATTTGTGTTACCAAGCTTGTTGTGCTCCATGCCATTGCCATTCCTGTCCCAAAGCAACATTTCAGATGATGGATTTTTTCTTTTCTTTATATGAAGTGCAGACTCCGCCCACCCAGCCTCCCCCGGCAGACGCCGGACTTGCGAAGCAGCGAACCCAACTATTGGCCGACGTGACTGAGAGGTATCGGGAGTAACGTTACATGAAGCCGACTGTTAACTTCAGGCTCTGTACACCACGCAAAGTCGGTTTACGTTAGTTAACGATGACTACATCGGGGCCCTTGGATCGAATGGAACTCTGTGAAAGCCTCTTGACATGGGTAGGTGGTCAAATATGAAGTTCGGGGGTTTATTTCCACTGACTAGCTAGCTAGCGTACGAGGATACTCCTAGCTCGATGAGCTAGCGGCGGTAACGTTAGCAGGCTAGAGGAAAATGACACACAGGCTCACGTTGGTTACGTATACAGGCCAGCTGTTTGCTGCTTTAGCTGCTGATGTGTGGTCTGCTAGCTGCCAGGAAAGCCTTCTACCCAGCCATGAACATACCTTTGGTTCTAGCCCTGTACAGCCGGGTGTTTAGCTAGCTCAACTTTCTAATGCTCTGTCTGTGTGTTGTAACGGGGTGGATGTAACGGCAGAAACATTGGCCTTGTTATGGTTTATCGCTTTCTTAGCGACGTATTTTTCCTCTGGATTGAGCATACAACGTTACACCTCGGTGTCTGAATTCCTGCCATTGTTGCCTAATGTATAATTATGTCTGATCTCTCGTCCCCATTGCTCCTGATAAAAAAAAAAGTGAAATACAGGATCGCATCCCGGGCTTGGCTTTGTAACGATACCCTAAATCTTTGTATGGATGTGTAAGCAACCAAGTGGAAAAGGGGCATCAGATCAGGATCACATGATACATATTTTTAGCATGTTTGTATTGTGGACACAACACACACGCATCTAAAGAAAAGTCCACAGTCTCTTAACTGTAATGTTGACTGTTGGACAAGGAAAAAGCAATACTAATACTGACTACATCCTTTGTGATGCTTCAACCTTCATCACACGCATTACTCAGATGTGCACAGAACTGTGAATGGATCGGCTGACATATCATTTGATTGAAACTGTGCATGGGTACTTCCATGTTTTCTACCATACACTACTGGCTCAAATGACAGTAGTGCATGCTGAAAACATGCATGCAGGGCTGGTTTTAGTTAGAGCTCAGTACAAGCCCCTTACATGTCACATAGTCATACTGGAAATCAATTTGTGAGATTGAGACGTCAGAGCTTGTGGGTTTAAGCTTGTGGGTTAATGTGACATGTACATTCATCTCTGATGCCTCCGCCTCTTGTTTCCTTTCTTCATGCTCCTCGTAGTGATGTGACTGGCAAACATTCCTCACATACCTGTTAACTGTGAAGTCACAGCACTGAGTGTGACCGATTGTTGCTGACGTGCATGAGGCTGTACCTCTTACGAAATAGCAGTGGAGATATCAAGGCAACTGTCTTTAGACTTTAGTATCTGCTGTCAGCCATGTTATTCAGCTGATGGCTCTTGTCTGTCAACTAAACCGGTTTGTCTTATGAGATAATGTTATTCAAGTGATAAAATTATCTCTCACGACATTGTAGTCACTTGGCAAAACACGATGCCTCGTTTTTTTCCCCACATAAACCTCTATGGAATAGTATATTTGGTATAGAAAATTAATTTCAATCAAGCAGAGCTCTTCATGTGGCCCCAGCTGCATCAGATATCTTGTAATTTCAGTTATCAATACTCATACTAATGTAAATTCACCAGGTGTATTAATAACTGTATTTAAGCTTTTCCTACAAATGTGCCCTATAACTTTAGTAACTGGTAAAGCAGCACTGCTGATAAAGAATCATGTCTGACATTTACACCGAAATGATGCACTGGATCACACATCAGCAAAGCAACTAGGTGCATTGCTTGCATTTTGTTGTCTCTTGGCTGTTTTTGTAGCACATCACTTTGTCGCTGAAATCCCTTTAACTGGCACCACAAGCACGTTCATTTTCTGTTACCATCAAAATGGTCCATGGTGGGCATGTGTGGCGTTGGTATGCTGGTCTTCCTTTTGGACGCATACAATCAAAACAACGAGCTGACTGATATGCGGTATGATGAGACCTAATGTGGACATTATAGTTGAGAGGTAAAAGTATCTGCTTCCCTTTGATCGCTCGTCCTAGTCATGTGACACAAGTGTTCTCCACAGCTAGACTGTCTCCTTTCCAACTGCTTCCACAAACGCTTCCTTTTTTGACATCAGTCCGCCCCGTCTGAGTTTTGTCAATAGTGTAGTTAAGCCAATATTTCTTTTATTATTGCTTTGGTTCTGTGTTTAAAAAATAAGAGAGAGAAAACAGTCATTTCTAATAGATAAGAAATTCAGTTTACGTTATATTTCTAATGTTTATTTTCTATTTCATGGCCCTTTGCGTGCTACCACAAAATTGTTGTCATTACAGCAGTTATTGTGCATGTTGACTCAGAAAGCTGAAAGGGTATTAATGGAAATGCAGCTTTTGGTGAAGCTTTTTCTGTGTGAAATTGTTTAGGTCTCACACACTGTCAGACATGAACGTCTTTCAGTTAAACTCAACTTAGCCCTCTTATCTTCCCTTTAAGCAGATTGCTATGGATGATGTGATCAAAGCGGACTGAATGTAATCTGGGAACATGAACCAGAACCTCAAAATCCCTCTGATCACATGATGCTCTGTATCCAGATTAATTGGTTTTCAATCATCACATTGCAGCTCACACACACACACAGATTGGGCATTAACAGGACACTGTGCAGATAAAACAGTACAGTATGTTATGCGGTGTATGCTGCTTTATAATTGAAACAGAGCTGGCAAAAGGGGAGCTTCTTTCACAGACAGCCAGTGCCGACACAATGTCCTACACACAGCATAAAGGAAGTCACCAGCACTGCTCCACTGTGGCTTTTCAGGAGACATCACATGGGCATACATTCTGTTTAAAGGCTTTGTATTCCAGTACAGCATGTACACCATAGGTTTGTTGACCGAGCATGCAGTCCAAGCATGGGGGAGCTGTGGCAATGCGAACCTATTTCTGCTTGGGGACAATAGTGTAGGGTGTAAAAATAGAGCTCTGTCAAAGGGGGATGCAATACTCTTTGTATGCAACAGAGCTGGATGTGTTGGACCTCAACACATGCCTCGGTTTAATTTGATTTAATTTAACAGTGTTGCTTACTATTGTGTTAGTATCCAAACACAGGAAGTCGGCACGTAAACCCACTCCACAATACAACTTAGCATCACAGGAAGGGTGTAGACTTGAGTGTGATGAGTCATATACATTTTAGATTGTAGTTTCAATTTGGCAGGGTAATTGGAGTGGGTCAGGTATTCTTCAGTCTCTGGTAACCTGTGTTATGTAATCGGACATAACAAACAGTGTATCAAACAGTGATAGCTAGTTAGTTGAAATATGAATAATAATACAGATGTTTTTAGATCAGGTGCACCGAGAGTGTCCTCTTGTTGACGAGTCAGTCATTCAGGAGCAGTACAACTTTGAGTGGAGGTTCCTAGAAGACGATCTTAACCACTTTAGGATATTTTAAATGTTTTTGTTGTTATTGGGTCAGTTTACTCCATGTTTAAAAGTTGATGGGCAACATTTCTTAAGGTTCACAGTTGTACACTTGATGTCCAGTGGAGAATCTAAATTAAACATTTAGGTTGTCTGAACTTATCAACTGATTGTGTGTGTATTGTTTTGTGTGTCATGTTGACTTCATGCCATGTGAAGTGTGTCCTTGATTGTGTACCGTGTCGAATGTCTTCTTGTTTCCTGACCTCTGTCTCTGCTAATAAGGGATATTATCGAGCACTCGGAAGTGTTGCTGCTCAGATTACGGCCACACAGTTATTGGAGATGTTCTTGCATCATCTTTATTTCAAGAGGAAATGTCCTACAGCCAGTGGTTTAATATTAGTGGACACAACACCAAGCAAATGGCATATTATGGCCTACCCAACACTTGTAGCTGCTTTTCAGAGGGAAATATTTATACTAGTTTAATGTCGAACACAATGACGAGCTGAATATGTGTCCGGATGCATTAACATCCAGCTTGAGTCTCGCTTAAAGCCCTCTGCTCCGTTCTTTTCCACCCAATAGCTTCATGTGGAGAGCTTCGTTGGGGTTCAACCTGTGTTGATAGGCCGTCTCTCAGACACTTTTGTCTGAATACCTTGTCTGTCGCCCTCTGGTCTTGGTAAGTCTGTGACTCGGGGCTTGAGAGCTGCATGTTGAGCCACGTAATGAAAAGTGAGACCGACGGAACGACGTGCAGGCAGAATTGAAACCTCGTCATTTTCCTTCTGTCAGAATTCCAACATTCCTGCTCTCAATTTCCCCTCCTTTTGGCACGTGGACAGAAAAATATGAACTTGTGTGTCTGGGCAACAGACTTTAAGCCTGGAGGAAAAGTGATAAAGAAGGATATAAAGGGTGGAAAGGGAACAATGACTTGCCAAGTGAGAATAAAAGGATCGGGAAAAAAGAGATGGAAATGGACCAAGAAGGATAAGCAAAGTTGAGAGAAATTTAGCAGGACCCAGCACTCAACACTTGTTTGTCTGTTTGTTGTTTAGATCCAGACTTTTGGAGTGGAGGCTCCATGCAAGACAGTAGACGACTTGACGGGCGGTATCGTCATGGCCCAAGCTCTACAGAAAATGTAAGTTGTCCTTCATCCTCGGTGTATGAGAAAATGCATCTTTCTAAAAAAAATACTTCTCTTTTTGTGGTATTTTACATTGTTGGTTGCATGATGTGTCATTGCTGAGCAGACTGAATTATATGTTAGAATGTACAGTAAACATAATAAATGTATTGAAACATTCAGTGACACTCCGTCACTGTCGGCGTTTTTCTCATTCAACTTCCCTAAAGCACTATTCTCTTGTCCATCTGAACTTTCTAGAGATGTAGTGTATTTCAACGACGCTTGGATTAGTAGAATCAAACCAGAGGTTGGGGACAACTGGAGGTTAAAGGTAAGAATACGTTATAGTAGTAGGTGTGTGTGTGGTTTATGTTTTGTGAGGCCAGTTTCCTTTTTCCCCCCCATTAGCGAATGACAGCAGACTTTTCCAAGTTTGAATGAAACTTCTACATAAGCTCTCTTTTGTTTCAGATCAGCAATCTCAAGAAAGTTCTGAAAGGCGTCCTAGACTATAACCAGGAGGTAAGAACAATCTGCTGTATTCATTTTAATTTGATCAGTACCGAGCATCCACAGTACACAAGCCCATGTGTTGCTCGTCGGGACAAGTTGTGACTGCAGGCACTACCCTTAAAAACTTTAGCACAACCACAGACCATGATAATCCAGTTTTGATTATTAAAATGCTTTTTGCTTCCCGTCTAGATCTTAGGCCAGCACATCAACGACTTCACGCTACCAGATGTCAACCTTATTGGGGAGCACTCTGACCCGGCAGAGCTTGGGAGGATGCTTCAGCTTATTCTGGGCTGTGCTGTCAACTGTGAACAGAAACAAGGTACGCGTCCCGTACTCTGTGTGCGATGTGTAGTTAGAAAACAATGTTCGATGATATCACAATTCTGATACCAACTGACTCAGAGGCTTGAATTTCCCCTCATTATTTTGTCTACTTCTCTAGAATACATCCAGACCATAATGATGATGGAGGAGTCGGTGCAGCATGTTGTTATGACGGCCATCCAAGAGGTGAACGATCGTGCTTTTTACAATAATAGATTAATGATGAGAGTAAGGTGGGATTGATCAGATTTGGTTGTCGTCATGACTGAACCGAGGCGTAACAAGTTTGCTGCCGTGTGTACACGTAACATCTTCCAACCCGTAAACCTGTTTTTGTGTGTTCCTGCAGCTGATGAGTAACGAGACCCCAGTGATGGGAGGAACTGACTCGTATGTGGATCTAGACAGACAGGTATGGAGACTATAAAACCTCACGTGGTGCTTTTTATTGTCTGTTTTCTAACGGCGCCATCAAAATGCTCTCAGATTAGACAGAGTTTAAGTTTGAATGTAACTTTTAAGGTAAAATATTGAACATTCACACGTCAAAGTCTTTAAACTCGCACACACACTCCCTCCAGTATCTGGATTTTCCACTGAAACCTCAACACCAACGTGATCTCTGCCTCTACCGATGTTATACCCTCCTCCTTTTTGGCCACAGACCTGTAAAACAGCTGAGTGTTTCAACTGCTTACAAACTGCCTCAAAAACATCTCACACTGTTATTTGGGGTAAATGTTTGTTTAGTCCTTGATCCAACATCTCCTTGGGGTTATACATGTTTGTTTCTTTAGTCTCATCCAAGTAGACAATACATTGTGTGGAAATGAAACAATGTGCAGGGTTTTTATTGTTTGTTTTTTCTTTTGTTTCTCAGCTGAAGAAGACAGCAGAGGAGCTGAATGATGCTTTGTCTACCAAGGAAGAGATTGCCCAGAGGTGTCGTGAGCTTGACATGCAGGTCGGTTTAATGCACTTGTAATCCTCCATGTTTTAGGCTGTTTGACTGCTGGTCGTAGACATCATCATAGCACAGAGTTCAGGTACTCCTATCCTATAACCTGAAAGACATAACGCCACCAGTGAGCCTGGCGAGGTCAGTTAGTTATCACAATGGCACACTATTAAAATGTGAGTATGTGAATAATTCAATAATAATATTGTATAACATTATTATATGCGGCTGGTCATTATGAGAGGACTATTTAGGTCTATGTCTTCATGGAATGATAATCATATAATGTCCAAAGTGTTAAAAATATTGGTATTGTTAAGAAAATACAGCTGCATAATTTAAGCTGTTGAGTGTCAGGCATTACTCATTAGCCTTGAGCAATTATAACTGCAATGATGATGCAATGTGAAACTGAAAAGATGAATGAGCACTTATGTACAGTAACTGTATATTTAGCAGGAACGTATTCAAAGTATACATACAAATAACTAACTTTAATTCACTTCTTTTAGCTTTATTTTGTAACTCTTTTGTGTCTAAGTGATTGTGTCGTACTTCTTACAGCTATGTTTTGGTTGCACTTTAAAAGCAGCTCCCTTTTTTTGCATAATTACACTGTAACGCATCTGGTTTGAGTTCCCTATACTTACGTGATAACATGTTGCTAAAAGAGATTAACTCACTTTATGTCTCTATCTTGAGAGCAGATGATCATAATGAACATATTTATTTCCTTTTACTTACTAAAGACACATATTGCAGAAGAAATGGAGCTGTGATTTAAAGGGTTACCTGCTCTCCTGTCTTGAATCGGTTTCCTCTCATTTCCTCACTATTTCATCACTGTGTGCCTTGCTTTAAAGGCCCTCCATGTCCAAGAGGAGCGTGATAGACTGAGGTTAGAGTTTAATGAGCTAGAAGAGAGGGTAAATCCAAACTTTCTTTTCTTTCTGTCTCTTTTTTCCATCCATCCATCCATGATGATGATGATGTGTGTGTGTGTGGTGTGTCTAATAGTCCTAGTAGATCCCCCTCCTACTAGTTATCTGTGTGTGTGTGTGTGTGTGTGTGCACACGTATACACATGGTCCTCATGGGGCACACCAGCCACAACTGCAGTTTGGTGTGGGTGTGTCAGTTGTCCCCTCTTCACTAATTATCCTTTGTCTTCTTACCCTTGTGTGTTTCATTGCTCTCCCACAGCAACAGTAGACAGAGAGGGGGAAACCCACTGTCCACTTGTCTTTTCTTGGCAAAACTGTTGAATACATGTCAAATGTTACAAATATCACACATACTGTATATTATTGTTATGTGATGTTACCATTTTTTTTTCCTGAATTTAAAAAAAGTGCACATCAAGAACCTTTTTATCAAAATAATAATGTTTCTATTTCCTCTTAACAAAAACATTAAGATCAGTTCCTGTGTTTGGAGATGCAACAGACTCAGTCATGCATTTCTATCATTAGTGGCACATTTAAAAGCACAGATGAGCTTCTGCTTTGCTTGGTGTGGAGTTTGATGCCCTGTCTATCACGCTGAGAAGGCAACATCAAACTATATGTAGCCCTCTTTGGAGTTTGTTGGTTTGCCCCGTTGAAGTGTTTTTGGTGTGCGCTTGCTTTGTTACCAGAAGCGATGCTGCAGTATAATAACCTAATGGATTGAATGCCGTAAAGAAAATTCTGCGTTCACATATAAGTAGTTTGAGAGATACAATTTGAAGAAATAACTTATTTCCTTCTCTTCTCTCTTCTCTTTAACATTCCATCCCTCTATCCTCCATTCCACCCCTTTTTTCACCTTTCCTGTTATCCAAATCCCGGTCTACCTCACGACTGGACCCATGTCTTCCTGCCCTTTCTGGTTCCTCTTTTTGCATTCCCATTCTTTGCCCTCCTGTTCGCTCGCGTCCCTTCCACAGGTGGCAGCCCTGCAAGAGGAGAAGAGCAGTTTACTCGCAGAAAACCAGGTCCTGATGGAGAGACTCAACCAGTCCGACTCCATAGAGGACATAAACAGCCCTGCGGGACGAAGACACCTCCAGCTGCAGACACAGCTGGAGCAACTACAGGAAGAAACGTTCAGGTGTGGAGTTGATGGAAAGAGAGAGGGAGATGAATTGACTGATGCTGGAGTCAAAAATCAGATTTTAAAGATGATTACTGCTAATTCTGTGTAGGTTGGAGGCATCAAAAGACGACTACCGGATCCGTTGTGAAGAGCTTGAAAAGGAACTTGTGGATGTGAAGTCGCAGAATGAAGAGCTTGCGTCTCTGGCTGATGAAGCGCAGTCTCTCAAGGACGAGATGGATGTCCTCCGGTAAGAAGGGGATGCAAAGTCTTGGCTCTGAACACACTGAGAGTACCAGAGTAAAGCAAGCTAAACACGAAACAAGTGAAGAGATGCCAAATGGAAATAGAATGAGTTAGAAAAAAAGGAGATGAAGAAAGACAAATGTATTGTTGAACAACTATCCTGTTATTTCAGACTTGTCTCCTTTACTTCTTTCTAAATGTAACGTCACAAAATGAAAGTGCCCGTTGTTTCCCTCCCCAGGCATTCATCAGACAAAGTGTCAAAGCTGGAGGGCACAGTGGAACACTACAAGAAGAAGCTGGAGGACATGGGTCTTCTCAGGAGACAGGTACGCAGACGGCAGCAATAACTTAATGCGTCTCACTCAGTGTCCATTCTTTTTTTAACAAACATTTAGTTTCAATCAATATCTAACTAATCACCGAGTGTTATTCCAACAACTGGCAGTATTTGTGTGTCCGAGTTACAAACAAATACAGTTTACATTCCTGTGGCTCTTTTCCAGAATAAGCTTCTGGAGGAGAAGAACACGGTGTTGATGCAGAGCAACGTCGGTTTGGAAGAAGAGCTACGAAAGGCGAACGCCACCAAGGGCCAGCTGGAGACATACAAGAGACAGGTAAGCAACCAGCGGCCATGTTGACTCGCATGGAATGAGGCTTGGCTTGATGTACCCCAACTTGTAAAGCTGTTATTGTATAAGACTCACACACATATATTTTAAGAGATAATGTATTTCCATTGTCTGCCCTTTCTCTGCACAGGTGGTTGAACTTCAGAACAGACTGTCAGAAGAGTCCAAAAAGGCCGACAAGATGGAGTTTGAATACAAACGCGTCAAAGAGAAAGTGGACTCTCTACAAAAAGAAAAAGATGTATGTACAATTCATTGTATTAATATAAGAAATGGTACAGTATTTTTGATGAGTATACATTTTTCACAGAGATATCCCACCATATATTTTTGCAGTGTGCGTAACTTTGTGATGTATCATTTTGTTCTACAAGAAAGACCAAAGGCTGAACATAACTTTCACTCTAGTAACTAAACAGAGTTACTAGAGTTACTTGATTGACAGATGCACATCTTTTGGCTTCATTGCAAACCCTGCACTATTTCTCATCATATTTTCTGCATCACGTGTTTCTCTCCCTCTGTAGCGTATGCGTACGGAGAGAGACTCTCTGAAGGAGACTATTGAGGAGCTCCATTGTGTCCAAGCCCAGGAGGGACAGCTCACATCAGGTACAATGAAAAAAACATGTGGCTAAATATGAATAGCTGAGCTACGATGTACTTGGTCAAGCCTAAATATTTGGTGTCACCCTGTACTCACGGTACTATCTGTTTGTTAAAGGCTTGTTCCCGATGGTCAGCAACGACGGCTCTGACTCACTGGCTGCTGAGATCTCCACCCCAGAGATTCGGTATGCCACTTAATGTTGCAACTTGCGTGCCAGACACACATCAGACTGTTCGTGTGTGGATGTGGGGGTGTGTGTGTGTGTGTGTGTTCACTCTGTAGCCAGATGGTTTCTGGGCGGCTCTCTCTGCTGTTTTTAAGTGGATAATTTTGACTTTAAAAGAACTGTCTCTGTAGTGAGTTATGTAACAGTTGTGTGAGAGTTGCATCAGCCTGACTGCTGCTTTCCAGGACGGCTGGCTTCTCTGCCGGCAGCATATTGTGCCTGGATTCTTTTTCAACGTGCGTTAACCAAAATACATATGGATTTACTTTGAAATCCTCTTAAAGCTACTAATAGAAAAATACAGTACTTGAGTTAACCCAGTCCAGACTAATTATTACTCTCTGGAGGTAAAAGTAAGATTAAACTGTTGTGGCCTGAGGTGATGTCATATCCTGCAAGCTTGCAGAGGTGGAAGTTAAATGTTGCAATAGCAGTGTTTCATGTGAGATATCTAAAGAGAATAACTGTGGTTGAAATACAAAATTGATGATTCATGCTCACTTGTGATTGTCAGTTCAGCACCTAACCCAACAGTGAGTGTGTAGACTGAACCAGGATGTGCCTTTTTGACAGAAAAGCTCCTGTGGCTCAGTTTCCTCTAAACTATAAAACAGCATGAACAACAGCTGGAATTTAGTAAGTCTCTCACTTTCCTGCAGGGTAGGATTCCAAACTCCACCAAAAGAAATCCGGTCCCGTCGCTGTAATATTTTCCCAATAAGCTGTTTTGGAACCTCTTCTCTAGTCTTCCTTTTGCCTTCCCTGGCCTTCCCTTTGCTAGCCCAGCGGCTGTGAGTTCATCTGGAAACATTCAGTCAGTACTTTAGTTGGAAAAGGAGTCGGCAGCCACGCCCTAAAAAAACACAGGAACCAGGAGACAGACTCTGCTCAACACTATCAAAAGACAGATCCGAGACATAACACATCTTATCTGTTTGGGGGGGAAAGTATCTCAAATACCTCTGCCCGTCTTTCCACCTTACAGTTGAAGGAACAGAGCGAGAGTGGGCTTCTCAAAGTGTATATATTTATATTTTTTGAGGATGCACTGTTGGTCAGTCTGACGGCATTACAGCAGCAGTACAGTAGTCTCGTTGCTGCAAATATTTTAGTATTAACGAGACTAAACCAGCAGGTGTGTTGCATCTATTTGCATAAGGTGTCTATGTAGAATTTATTGAGTTTCCCCAGTGCTAATAACATTATAATGTCTCACCTTATATTTACTGATTGCTGCACAGTTTGTGTCAAATAGTAACTTGGGACAGATATGATAAATATACAGAGAACAATGCATGCAACAATGTGTTCTCACCAGTGGTCTTTGTTTATGTCAATATTCTGTATACTGCTTGTGAGTACAGGTATAACAATCAATACTTTGTTTGATCAGTGTTGTTTGGAATTAATACTTGCTTCGGTCCCAATGTGTTTTTCCAGAGAACATCTGATTCATCTTCAGCACGAGAACAAGATGCTGAAGCTGGCCCAGGAGGGATCAGACAATGAGAAGATCGCTCTGCTGCAGAGTCTACTGGAGGATGCCAACAGAAGAAAGAATGAACTGGAGACGGAGAACAGGTCAGCAGAGAGCACAGAACCTGGGAGCATTCAGCAGCGACGGCAAACAAACTGGAGGCTGACTTATTTTTCTATTTGCCTATGAAAACACAAATGCATCTTCTCCTTCTGTGCTCACTATCTTATTTTGAGGGCTGATTGTGTTTCCCTGTGCTTTTATTTATTTAATTTGTCTATACTGGAATTTGAGTCGATGACCTTTTAGTCAGCAGCCTGCTTCTCTGCTCATTGCTGTGTTTAAACTTGTTCGTCAAACTGGTCTTTTGTGCTTTTTTCTTATCTAGGTTAATCAATCAGCGCCTGATGGAGGAACAGGGTCAGGTAGAGGAGCTGCACAAGAATCTCCAAGAACAGGGTTCCAAAGCAGATGATGTAAGGAGCGATACGTTTGTTCTGCTTTGTGGAGGCATGACTCTGATACCAGCTGAAATGTTGGCAACAATCACACATTCCCATCAAAACAACAAAGATGTTCGACAAGACTGCAGTACACCGCTCCTCTTGAAGGCTCACGGTTTTGATTTTAAAAAGTAACGTTAAAAAGAGAAAAGGCCAAATGAGTATAATTAACATAATTAACCATCTGTCTTTTTTCTCTCAAACACTTATTTGTAGTATTTTGACTACTTACTTTCAGTGGTTTTAGAAGCAGTACAGTTTATAAAAACAAGTAAGCAATATGCAGAGAATAGAAATAAATATCTATATTGGAAACATCACAATTATGGAGGAATAATCTAGGAAGACCTTTTATTTAAGTACAAATCTAGTCAGTGAAGGAGCCAGTGTGTCAAATGTCGGGTGCAAAAATGGGAAAGACACGTTGACAGATTATGGCGTGGATGATTATTGCCTCTCAGTGAAATACTTTTCACTTTTCTTTTCAAATAATGCTTCCACTCACAGACCATAGTAAGTATAACTTTGTGATTCCTGAACAGTTCCCTCTCTTAGACTTTGTTCTTTCAAGATGTCAGCTGTTTGACTTCATGAAACAAACGTGTAACAACTCGCAATGTAAGACATTTGCATATGTTATAGGATGACTTCATGCATTTGTTACACTGAGTTGTTGCACTGAAGGAGTACGTAGTTACTTTTTTGCTAGCTATGTTGTTTTGGGATTCTGCATTCTTCTCTTTCCTGTTAGAAGTAGAGAGGCGTCTGTCATCACTTCTTTGGTGTCTTCTTTGTGTCTCTCTAGAAACCCAGCTTTCCCCTTTCCTCCACGCCGTTTGAATTCTTGTTTAGAGATACTCTGCAGATTTCTGCTCTCTCATTTTACATACAGAATCAAAGAACATACAAAAAAATGAACCAGAACAATCCTCGAATTGTAAACATTCTTTGTGATCATCCAACCTGAAGAATCACTTCATCACCCAGCCCAAAGTATTGGTTTTAGGGTCTGTTGGTTGCCTCATTTACTGAAATTCTAGATTTATTAATGTAGTTAAATACCACATGATAACATTACCCAAACATGTTGTGTTCCACACTTCCCCCTGTTGGATGAGAAGGGACATGTGCAGGGTCTTCTTACATTGTGGTGCCTTTTAATAACAACTTTAAAGGTCCTTTTCAACGAAGCGAGAGAACAAGCCTGGCACACACACGTGTGGCTGCAGGTATAAAGATGGACAAGACTGGAGTTTGCAACTCCTGCATTTATCCAACAGAGTCTCTTTAAATGTTTCTCATCTTTTTTTTATTTTAAGTTGTATCTGTGGGTTGTGTAGGTTGGTATATGTTATAAAATATATCCTTTATTTGTTTTTCTTTTCATTCAGTCTTCCATCCTGAAGAAGAAATATGAGGAGCACATGTAAGTTCCCTGTTTTACAAACCCAGAAATATGTTTACATATAAACAAAATCAAAGTAAATAGATTTGAAATGTCCTCTTCATTCACTTCTGGGATGCTTGGTATGAAATAATCAACAAAACCGGGCCTGAAAAACATGTTTTGACGTTGGTGCTTTGTCCTCTTCATCAGGGAGAAGCTACGAGAGTTGAACAATGAGTTACTGAAGAAGAACGCCTTCATCGACGACATAGAGCCCAAATACAACACCAGCTGTGAGTTTGAACTCTGAATGTGTGAAGTGCGGTTGAAGGCCGTTGACCTCCATCCTCTCTGACCACCTGTTCTTATCATTTTAGAATTTTAAATGATTTAATGTATGATGTGCTACAGCTCAGTGCATTCTCGTAGCAAAGGACAAATAAACAAAAAAAATAACTTTCATGTTGTTGCCTCTCAGCCCAACGAGTGGAGGAGCTGGAAGACGCTTTGAAGAAGAAAGATGAAGACATGAAGCAGATGGAGGAGAGATACAAGAAATACCTGGAAAAGGCCAAGAGTGTGAGTATATTCATAGGTTTATCTCTTGCACGGTGCATTGTAACCAGGGAGGCTTGCTGTGGGTGCAGGGCAACAAGAAAGTGTACGTGATGTGATTTGAATGTGTCCGCTCCAGGTGATCCGGACCCTGGACCCCAAGCAGAACCAGGGTTCAGGTCCAGAAGTCCAGGCCCTTAAGAACCAGCTGCAGGAGAAGGACAGGATGCTGCACTCATTGGAGGTAATCAAGTATTAGAAGTTGGATGATCAGGTAAGGGAAGCGGTGGACTCAATTGGGTTAACCGGTCACCTTTTATAGATGAGTAGTGACTGGAGAAGGACGCATGTTTAAGTGTGTGAAAACATAAAGAAACAACTGCATTGCTTATTTTTGTGTGTGTTTTTATGTTTTCTCCAAACAGAAAGAGATGGACAAGACAAAAACCCAGAGAGATTACGAGGAGAAACTGATCGTGTCAGCCTGGTACAATATGGTGAGAAAGACCTTCACAGAGAATTAAGTATCTTGAGGTTTTGGACTTTTGATCGGACAAGAAAAGACATTTTATTAAGTTATATTTATTATATCTAGGACAGTGATGGGCATTTTTCACATGTATAATTAACCAAATATCTACTTGAAAATAAAAATTATTATTTATTTTCAACTCATAATAATACATAGCTCACCCAAGGATAGTTATTAGCAATAACACATTAAATGAGGCACTGAAAAACACACAATATTTCAAAATAATTGTCCAGAAATCATTTGCGTTCAGTTATTCCTTTGATAGATATAAATACATGTGGGTGGAATGATATGTGGAAGAACAAAGTGTGATTTTTAGTTTGAATTTGAATGCCTTTAATGTTTTTTTTTTTTGTAATACCCTCTTGTAGTGTAGGCCAAGTATTGCATGAAATGGTGTCATTCTTTACAAGTCATGCAAGAAGGCATTTCAACCACCAGAGGGCAGCATTGCTCTTCTATATTTGACATTTCCTCCATTAAACATTTGATCGATAGCTGGTGTTAATGTTCATGAGTTGTTAAATAGGAACTGATATTGTGTTTACGGTAATTTGCTTTCTCATGCTTCACGATTACCGCACTGCTGGTAGCTGATTCTGTGGTGACTTAAAAGCTCTGGCTCACACGCTGCTATTGATTCTCCACCTCCTCGCTGTTATGTTTCCTGATGAAGACCATTAAGGGCAATAATGAGACTTCCTCCGTATCTTTTCTCAGGGTATGTCTCTGCAGAAGAAGGCGGCTGAAGACAGACTTGCCAACACCGGTTCTGGTCAGTCCTTCCTGGCCCGGCAGAGACAAGCCACCAGCACACGTCGCTCCTATCCAGGCCACGTCCAGCCAGCTACCGCAAGGTAGATGGGGCAGCAGGGCAGAAAAATAACGCCACAAACCACCATACAAATCCCCCGAACTTACACACTATAGACCTGCCCTTTTTTTTTTGAGGCACGCTATTTGCATTCATTTCTAATGGACGTTATTGTTTTCCTGCATTCCGCCTGTTGATTTTCTTTTTTTTTTTCTTCTTGATCAAGTCCCTTGGGTAGAGATGCCAGGCAAGGCTGGCCCAAAACTCGCCCCCATTTTTTTTTTTTTTTTTTCTCCCCTCACAGAGCATATTTTTTACCCTGACTCCTGTGATGCCAGGCTCCAACCCTTTTAACACCCCAGCATACTCCATAGGGTCTGACTAATCACCCCAAAACCTCCTCTCTTCCTCCCTCTCTGACCTCCCTGACCTTCCTCAACCCATACTCTGTGGCAAACCTTTGTCCGGCAGGTCATTTGGACCCCGAAAGGCAGAGAAGAATCGCATCTTCTTGACAAGTCACGGTCACTTCTCTTTCGAGGAACCGCTCTTGCCTGTTCATGCCGTATTCACGCACATCTCTACCTTCATCGGGTTTCTCTCTATCCTGCGATATCTATTTAAACTCTTACGATGTAGCTTTCAGCAGGCGACAGCAATTCTCAATGTGTTCAAATGGAGATAAGTTGCTCTCCTGCTGTGTCATGTTATATTTGTTATTTGAATTTAGATGCACTATTGAGCAACAAATACATAGGAAGATGTATAGTCATCTCATCTCATGTAAATGTTCCATTTGCTTGCTAAATGGTCTTAATGATCTCTAATAGGACTTCATGATTTGGAAAAAAACAGGTAACAGTGCAGCAATAATTGTGAGGAAAAACGTAAAGTTACTGCTTCAGCTGTTGAAGTTTTATCAGAAGTTGCAAATCCTCAAAGATTTCTACATAACTGTGTTGACTGGTTTTCACTATCTTTGTTAAGGAGCCACCGTCAAGCAAACTGGGAAATGCATCAGTTCATGTAGCTTCAGCTTCACCAGCATTTAGCAGGTTGTCTCAGACGTCACCGTACGTGCCATAGTGTTACATTTCAATACATGCGCCGCAGCATTTGGTCGACAGCACTCAAGGAAAATGTAGTCGTGAGATAGTTTTAGATCCTGGGATGGAGACTTGGTTCGCAGATCGCCCCTTTCTGCTAATACGTCAACAACGAGAAGTTGTGTTTAACTGTGTAGCTCGGTTCTTTTCCGTATCATTTTAGAATCCATTGATTGCTATCGTAGTGAAAAGGTTGTTCAAGGTGTTTTGAAAAGTACACAGTGCTTCCCATGTCAGTTTAAACAGACATCTTGAATAGGTATGCTTGTTGCAGCTGTTCCTGTCCTTTTCTTTTAACCCATTTTTATTGTTCCACTCTGTTTTCATTGTCATTGTTTTTAAGCCGCATGACGAACGATCTCTTATTAACACGACGGACTTTCAGAAGCCTTGGAATTGACCCTGTTCGTTTGCTTGTGTTTGTGTTTAGATCAAGGCCAGAATCTCAAGCTAACAAACCCCGCCGTCTGACCGTTGTCTCTCTCTCTTTCTCTCTCTCTCCTCCCTCAACAGCAATGTCACTGCATGACCTGCACACCAGTGAGCTGGCCAAGCCTTGAGTGGCCTGGCCCGGCCTGTCCCCCCCCCCCCGGGCAGGGCTAGACTGAGGCCCGTGATGCATGAACTACCTGCCTGCCTACTGTTTGCATGCCTTTGCATTGACTCGAGTCTGCGAATAACCGGCACACCAGTAACAACAGCATGAGCACTAACAACCCTCTGCAGTGTCATGCGTTGTAACGCCCAGACAAGCTCAAGGAGGCCAGAAACTAAACTCCTTTCCCCACCCTTCCAGCTCTTTGCTCCTCATGTTCTCCTGCTCTCTCCTCTCCTCCATCTCTCCTCCCTCCACTCACTCTTCGTGGACATGCCTGCTTGTGCTTCCACACCGCGTCAAGTCTGTTACACTTCAATGTATGTTAACACAAAGGACAGGGGCAGCATATAGCAGAGTAGTCTGCCAATCAAGCAGTTGATCTACAAATAGGCCTTTCTCTGTCATGTGTAACTTGACGTTGGCCGGCTGCCTCAGGATACCTCGATGTCATATTCCCACATATCTGTTTCTATTTACATGGGAGAGAAATATTTAAGAGGTGTCGCCTGCAAATCAGTCTCCATAACACAAAAAACGCTACCCATTAAACTTGTAGATGTGTGTCTCCTGCAGTGGTCCGGCCCAGCCTCTCCTCCACATGTTGCTAGATGGCATCTTAGAAGTGGTTTTACCTCAAGTATTGGTTGGTACAACAAGGAGAGCGGACAGGGCATTACCGGGACGTCCTAGAGGCTTTTGGACAGATTGCAGTCGGAGCATAGGATGGCAAACTAAGTGTTTTTAAAATGAATAACATTGTTACAGATATGCTTTTAATACGGGATAAAAGCCCCCATTAAGCCGACTTATAACTTTTCTTTCAATGGAATTGAATGTCCGCCTAGCATCTGTTTCTACTCTGTTGTCTGTTATTTGTCCAAGTAGCAAATAACCTGTCTAATTGAGCCAAGAGCAAGAGGCTCTGCAGACGGTGCATTTTGTCACACGTTTTATACATTTTTACCATAAAACATGGATGCTAATTTAATAGAATGATATCCTGACAAAAATAAGCGAATGAAACCGTACATTAGCTCACGCAGGCTAATCTACGGTGCATTCAATCTGTCGCCTGGAAAGGGCTGACTATTTAAAAAAACGTAGAAAGGGAAACCACTGCAACAGTCTCAAAGGATCCTGTTGATCACAGATCAAACCTTTATTCAATAGGCAGTTCATAGTAACCCTGCCGTCCTCTACAGTGGTCTGTTAATGCAACTTAACGGAAAATATGTGATTTTGGCATTGAGTGCTCACACATGCAGTTTACAGAATGAGTTCTACGAGACACAAATGATAGTACCAGTAATGAGGAACCTGAACCTGGTGTTGCTGCAAGACATACTGTACACTGTGTGTAGCTTTTTTTTAAATACATGTCTTATTTATATTTTATTTTCAGAGCGTAGTATAGGTATGTTGACAATTAGGGTGAGAGAGACTTAAAACAAAAAAAACACACACCTGGAGCTAAGGATTTATGCATATTATAGGCATAAATGCATACATTTTTCACAAGAGAGAGATGGTTGAATCCTCCAATTTTAATGCCTTTGTTTAAAATATATTTTAAAAAAACAAGACGGGCTGGTCTTTTTAGGACTAAAGACAGCAAGGCATACTACCTTTTATAGACCAGTTTTATTGTGTTATTTGAAAAAAATACAGTTTTTAATCTCATATCCATACATTAAGGAGGCTTAACGAGGGCTTTTCTTCTCTGTACTTTCACCTATTTTACTCATAAATGTATTATTGTGTAACCTTGGTTTAATTCATGCCGTGCATTTTTATCTTAATGGCTTATTTATTCTTTCGGGCACTTGTACAGCAGTGTTACATTTAGTTTTTTTTACATCAGTAGTATTATTACATCGCCACTTGTACTGTTACAATGGAGTTGAACTTACCGTGCGACATCGAGATACTGTTACATACTCGTCTTATGCAACAAAAGGAGGAGATAGTTTGAAATAGCGTCGTGTTTTTATCCATCTATTGACGGTCGCTGAGTGTCGGCGACAAATGGATGAAAACTGCAAGGTTCCATTTACCTCCAGTCTTTTCAGGAAGAGGAGTTTCTTAGAAAACGTGTCATGTTTGAAACGGAATGTTCTCTCATCAACAAAAGAAAGCACATTTTTACACTTGACTGTGACCCTAACCCTACAAACGATCATCAGTGTTTTCTAGCGACGGCTACAAAGACGGCGGCCACGTCTGCGGGAAAAGGCTCATTAGCTGTTAGGCATGCATGTGTTAATTGCATTCAAAATGAAGGCGGCTCAGATGTTTGATTAACTTATCTCGATCAAATTTAGATTCTACATTCGGGCATCAAATAGATTAGTTTTCCGGGAGGGAGCGGCGACACAGTATGCAGTTGCAGTGTAAATTGAGTTGCAAAGTAAAAGGCGTGCTGTTTCGTCTTGTTCTCTACTTGTTTCTGTCCAAATCTGTGTTTAGGAAACCACTTGCCATTAACATCCAGCTGTAAGTTATATTACACAGAACTCTTTTTAACCGTCCATCCTCATGAGTCATTAGTTTGATAAGAAATCTGTATATAATGGAACACATCCACATTGTGGTTGACCTGTTTAAAATCATATCAGGAATGTTGGGGAAAACATTTTCTGTTGTGTAATATCCCCTCAGAGGAAGCATATAATGTTCTCCTCTTTTGTCCCCCATCAAGTCAGCCACTGTAATTTGTCGGTATACGTGTCTGTGTAAATAAACAATGTTACTGGCGAATACTGATACCGGTGGGAAAGATCATCACAGTAATATAACCTGAGAAAACCAGCTAGTTTGCGACATTCTGGGACCTTATTTATGCCCATTTCTTCTCAATAAAGAAGGAACGGTGACATCTTGATGTACTGTTCAATGCTATAACCCCAAATCCTTTCCAAATATTCATTTTTGAGAACAAAATAACAATTGCAGTATTCTTTACAAAACCCGGTCATAATGTTGTGTATTACTTACATGCCGAAGCTAAACATGAGTACCCGGTTTTCCCCCTAGTGTTACCTGACTGCTAATTGCACCGTCACAAGTGTATCAGAGGAACGAAACAAACCACACAAGGATGTTAACAGGTCCCAATCGCATCACTTACGCGTGCAATGTTTGCTGTATTTTTTTACTCATTGAAAACTTTTCTTTACTTATTGAAGTAGCAAATAACCTTCCAATTTGCCAAGTTTTATATTGCTTGTATACAAACACTATGTACATACTAAATGTGGCAGTGCTAGAGGAGGTGTCTGGCTATTTGAGGATGAGAATATAAAACTCATGTCAAGTTGGATGGATTTCATTTAGCATCTGTCCGATCAGGACCCGTTGATGAAAATGTGCTTCCTACATTGCAAAACGTGGAAATTACATTGTAAATAAAGCTTGTATAAAACGGGCTGCTTGTCTGTTTTTCTTATTTGTGTGAAATCATGCAATCTGATACCACACACACACCCAGAGTGTAATGTATTAAATGACAACGTGGGGGCGTTGTGATGAACCGACAGTTAGCACCTGAATGTGCAGCTCCCCTCGGCTTCATGGAGCTTTAGCTGACCGGCCTGAAGCACCAATATTTGCTTCTCATGGAGGAACTGTATTGGCACACATTCTGTTCTTCAAACCTCTAGATGAACATAAATATTCCATCTGCTGAATGATGAAAAAGTGTTTCTCCAAAGCTAAACCTGTTTTGGAATCGCAAAAAAAATGGCCGCTCGCCAGCTACCTGGATAAGAACGGGTTTATTGTTTTCGTCTCCTCTCACCGTTCTCATATCGTAGTATCAGACGAGTCATTTCCCCCAGCAAAGTGTATATTTGGACTTCCATACGCCAGGTACACAGAAGTACGAGGTAATAAGTCAATGTTGTGCACCTCTCTGACCCCAAGTGGCCAAAAAAATAAAGAAATCATTTAATGGAGGTACGATGAGCCAGATCCAGTTCCCATGGCCTGCTGTTGGAGATCCAGCGACACATTCAGGAAGAGATCAGGACAAAAGCGTTTGGGGTAAGACACACACACACACACACACACACACACACAAAATCCTTAGGTTGCAAAGACCACAAAAACAGCCAAATTTAGGCCTGTAGTGAATTTGAATCCTTTCTTCAGCTTCTTCTTAAAACCGCCTTCCTGCAGTGTGTCTTTGCTTTCATTACATCATCTGACAGATGGGACAGTATCCAAGTCAGGCGTTCATATTCATAATGCGTAATTAAGCTTAGCCTTATAGTTACAGAATGCCGATTAGGTTTTCCCTCATAATAACTTGCCTTACCCGCCATCCTAACTGTGGCCTAAGTGCGATAACCACTCTGGTTAATACAGAACAAATTTTGTCATGTTTGAGCTTTGTGTCACGGTGAACTCTGATTTCCGGTATCTGCTTCGCTTATGAATTGAATCTGTGCACACAAACGCATCCCTGCCTGGGAGATGAAGCCTGGATGCCCCTCGAGGCTGCGGATGCAGGAACTTCCCCCTATCGGTGCCTCGTTCTTCATTCCTGAGAGCTTCTTTTTCCCTCTCCGACCTCAGCCTCTGGGTGCTTCCTCCTGACATCCCGAGTCAATACAAATACACTCCTCTGGTTTCTCACTCACTTCCATCATGACGGGTCTGATTGAAAGGAGCGGAGAGGATGGTTAAAGTCCAGTGTTGATATCACTTTCCATACCTGGGTCGAGTCATATGTGCAGATGGTGAATTTCCTCCCAGTTAGGTACCAAAAACAAATGGCTGAGAGTTTAGAAGGTAACGGGTGGTTGTCCCTATTTAATCCATTGTTTACGTTGACGTGTTTGTACATTAGTGTGATATTTTATAATGTAATGTACAGTGCGTGTCCTGGCAAAAATAGACACTGAAAATGACACTTGTCTGCCTTGTAGTCAATGTAATAGTTTCAAAAAAACATCTCCAGGATATTGTTATGTGTCCATTCAACCTTGAAATGACACGCTCCCGCCTCACATTTTAACAGGTATTCACTGTGTTCTAGCTCCAGTTTGCTCCATTTTGTCATTGGGATTTCAAGGAATCGGAGCAGAAAAAATAAATGCACCACAGGCAGAGAGTGAGTCATGAACATTATGAATCGGGTGGACAAGCAGCAGCACTAACACCATTCCACTCGTGTGGTCCAGACACAAGCTCCCAATTCTTCTACTGTTATTTGAAACATGACGGCAAGTTGTCTGATTCATTAATATTCCATTTTGGTTGGACATTCCCTCAAATATAACAGATGTAGAGATGAATTAATCTTAAACAACCAATATTCTGCATAGATAAACCTATATATAATTTAACTTGAGATGCACTAACGGCATCCGTATTCGTGAGAATTTCAATTTGCATGGCTTGGATGTGTTTTCTTTGGAGGAAGAGTTCGACACCTTTAATGCTTCGTCAGCTAAATGGCGATGCTGAAGGTGCAAAGATTGTACAGTACACCCATTTCACTGAACATTGTTGCTCTTACCAGCGAATGCTGCCAGAGTCAGAACATTGTTTCTCATATCCAAAGAAAATGTTGTCATTGTTCCCAGATGTTTTTGTTTTTTTTCTCTTCTCGACTCTCAATATTGAAGTAATTACGGGAACATTCCACCGGGAGGAAAATCAGAGCAAACAAGAGCTGTCATTTCCCTAATGAAAGAGCCTGTTATTATTCCTCATAACTTAATGTCTGGCTGACAATATGGGCTTTATGACACTTTCAATTTCCATTTCAATCATACTAGTGGGGGGAGGGGGGGAGGCCTGATAACACAAGGCTCTCATTGATGCACACACTCCAACACGCACGCACACAATCGGACACACACAGATCAGGTGGTGTGTCGGCGCTTTGGTTCGGAGCCCGGCGGATACCTGACCTGAGGTTTTAACACGGACGTGCACACAGAAAGCACGCAGGGTCCAACACACCCACCCACACACACACAGAGCACTTTCACCGTCAGCCAAGACACAGGCAACCACTCCACTTTTACATGATCTATTTTGGCACGACTTCAATGAGACGCAGGTGAGAAGTGCACTGGCGAAACTGAAACCTCGCGCTCAGCCTGTTGACACAGTCAGAGAGTCAAAGGAAGGCAGAGTGCCTCTTTGGATTGTATTGACCCCTGTGAGCGAGGAGAGTTTGAGGGGAGCTGTTTGACTGACAGCCGCTGTGATATATTTGAGACACAAGATGTATTTATTCCTGCCAGTTTTTACTTATTTTTTTCCCTGCTCTCAGGCTTGTTATGGTGTTAAAACACCCCTCGTTAAGCGATAGATTACCGAGGTCTCTAGTAGAACAGAGATGATTTTATTTCCAATGTGAAGCCTGAAATTTCCAGCCAGATTCTCAGGCTTGCCGCCATGTTGCATCCCCTCTGATATAGCCGACTGATGGGTTCACCAACAGAATCCGTGACCTAAAAGTGCTTTCTATTTTTCCACAATTTCTGGGTTCATGATTTTGCTATTTTAGCCTCACATCCAACCAGGTTTTCTTTTTCCCTTCTGACCCTATTGTCCTCGAGACAGAAAGAGGCCATACTTGTTGCTTAAAAACCACTTGAATTTGTTTGCTCATGAGCAGATCTCAACATTAAAATACAGTCAAGTGGAAGTGGTACATTTAACAGTCCTTCATCAGGTACTTGACACCATCAAAACAACAACTGACTGCAATGGGCTTTTCTGTAAATTTATTTTAAACACAGTAGAATCTCAAATAAATCAAAATTGCTTCACTTCACATAGATTATGTATAAGACTTTAAGGGTGGCCCCTAGTGGATGGGTCAAACAAATGCAGGACTATATTTTTGTGAAACAAAAAGTAGAGTGTTTTTTTACTGACGACTTTGTGTCGAGAGATGCTACACCCCTGAGTCACGTGACGTTACATCCGTAGCTTACATTGCGCCACAAGAGTACTTGTTTTAAGCCAAACCATGGTATTTAGTCTAACCCTAACCAAGTAGTTTTATTGTCTTAACCAACCCTTTCACAACATTAATAATTTGTTACACGTCAGCTACAATTGTTTCACAACATTAACGAAGCACGGACCTTCTGCGTCAAGATACTACGCACAATTGCTGAGTAGATGAGATCACGTTTCACACTATTCAATTGATCTACAGGTGGTGCTGATGTGAAACGCTGCAATGCCCCGGCAAAGGCAGGGAAGAAGAAGACTACTAGCAGGTAAATGTGAACGTAAACAATGCAGGCTTCAAATGTATTAACTTTGTAAATGTTTTATCAGAACGTAAATGCCTTCAACAGGTGTGTCAGGCCTCATACACACAATGGGTTTTAGTGAGAATTACTCAATTTAAACAGAAACTTTGTTTGTTGAGAAAAAAAGGTTACTCTCTCTCTCTCTCTCTCAAACATGCACACACGTACATGCACACACGTACATGCACACACGTACATGCACACACGTACATGCACACAGAGTCCCGACAGAGCAGAAAACCTTCAGACCAGAGTGATGAACGTCAAGGGGATCTTCACGGTGTTTGAGCCAGAGTGAGTCACGCTGGGCTCCGTGACCACCAAATCAAAGAGGTGTTTGAACAGCTGCATTCCTTCATACCCCTTCATCCTCTCTCTATCTCTCTCTCTCTCTCTCTCTCTCTCTCTCTCTCTCTCTCTCTCTCGGAGTGCAGGAGTGAGGTAAGTCATCCTTTCACTGTGGACAGGTGTCTATTAGAGGTCGAGCGTAAAGATGAGACAGAGGAACTCTGTGAGGCTTCACAGCAGCAACTGCAGCTGATTTATGGACCCATGACAGCCCCGAGTGAGTCATTGTGCAGCTTCCATTTCTTTTCTCACATACAGCTGCCCTCCTCCCGAGTCACATACTGTTGGGCCATTCGTTTTCAGTGGCAGGCATGATAATTGCAATTGTATGGACAAACTCAGTGCTGAATTTGTTCTTTTGACTGAATCCTAACATTTCCAAAGTTGTGTCGATTCTCTGAACTGCCACCCTTGATTTAGTTCACTTCTTTATTAACCATTGTATTAGTACAGTGGACTTCATCTAATATAATGGCAATAAAAATGCATTGATATTGGTGGATGTTTTAACAGATTGACAATAAAATGAAAGCGAGACAAGCGTGGAAACTCACAAGTCAGGGTCAATATCAGAACAGTCAACCTCTTTTCTTTCTTTTTTTTCTTTGAAAGTGGAAATAAATGTTGCTTTTGAACACGTTTGAGCCTCTGGCAGTGACAGATAACTGAGACATCAATTTAAGCATGTCATCATGAAACTTAATGATCTGAATACACACGCACACACTGCACATCAGAGAGGGAAAGAGAGTCTTCATGGAACGGGCTGGAAGTCGAGGGTGGAGTTGGAATG